TGCACTTGTGAACAGGGCAGGCCGGTGGGGCTGTCCAGGGCTTCCTCCTGTCCTGGGGACTTCCAGGGAGAAGTGACACACTCAGCGGCGGCTTCCTGCAGCAGCTCAGGGCCCGGAAGGCAGTGGAAAAGGTCCCTGGGCACCGGACCCTGCTCCCCAGGCCTCTGGTCTCCCCAGGACTGGCCAGATGGAAGCAGGGGTTGGACTGGCGGCTGCCCAACCCCCAGCCTGCTCCAGCAGTGTTGTTGGTTTGGCTGGGTTGCCATGGAGATGGGAAGCCGGCCCACCCCCACCCACGGGAACTTTTCCCAGGGTGTGAGTCACTCTGGAGCACAGGCGCAGGCCAGGGCTGACACCCTCCGCCCCACCCTCTGGGCGCCCCAGCCCACCTCCTCCTGCAGCTCACCTGGGCGGGGTCTCGGACCCCTCCTTTGTGCTTCGGAAGCTAATGGGAGTCACCTCAGGCCGGGAGCTCCAGCGTTCACTCCCAGGGACTGGGCTGCCAGGGCGGGGGCTGGGCGTGGGAGACACTCTCTGGGGGGAGAAGGTGCGGGCCCTGGGCTGGGGCGGGCGGTGGGCTGTGGGGAGAGGACAGGCAGCCCATGAGAGACAGAGCCCCGCAGAGAGGCGTCCTCTGCCCATCCGCCCCCGCCCCGGGCACTGACCGGCAGCGGAGCAGCGGCAGGGGTCATGCTTGTCCAGGTAGTGCTCCAGCGTGTCCCAGCCTCCACCCACACGCACCATCACATGGCTCCTCAACACCTGTGGCAGCCGGCGCGGGCAGGTCACCGCTGTGCCCTGCGCGCCTGGCAGCCCACCCACTTGGCCACTGCCTGCCCGGGCAGCCCCAGGCTCTTACCCGCACAAAGATGAGCAGGCTGGAGTCTCCCACGCGGTACTTCCCCTCGGAGACCTTGATCATGGGGAACTGGTCTGGGCAGGTGCAGTGGCCCAGGATTTCCCTCACCTGAGGCCAGAGGGGAGAGCCTGGAGGTCAGGGGTCAAGGCTCTCCTGGGGCCTAACGTCAGCAGCCCCAGGGTCAGGGGGAAGTAAGCCCTTCCAGGGAATGGGGCATAGAGACTGTTGCCCAAGACTGGACGCAGCTTCCACATGTGACCCGCCACCGGCTCCTCCCCTGGGCTCTCAGGCACAGGGAGCTGCCCAGGATAAGATGATGGGGCTGTGGTCAGGCCTGGGACCCCCACGAGGAACATCCCGCAGCCCCTGAACCTGGGGAAGCCCTGGCGCCCGTCCTCGGTTCCCTTCACCCACTTCACAGACAGGGAAGCTGAGTCCCACCGGGAGCCCAGGGCCTGGGAGGAGGCAGGCCGTGAGACACAAGTGCAGGAGGCCCCACGCCCCCGGGGGGGCACTGATGTGGGTACAGCACAGACGTGTGAGACACAGGCCACCAGCCCAGCGAGCACACACCACACACATCCCCCCAAGCCCGGAGCTGCCAGGCTGGCCACTGGTGGCCCTGCCCTCCTTCCCGCCCACAGCGGCAGCGGCGCCACCAGAGGAAATGAGCAGGTGGGGCCTTGGGTGACCCTGGCCCAGGATAGGGGTGGGGCGCCAGCCTCTGCCCACAGTCATCCGGCAACTCGCCTCCTGGGCAGGCACATCGGAGTCCTGAACTCCTGATAAGAAGAAAACTTTTAGCCCAGCTGCGGGGGTGGCAGGGACACCTAGGACCTGGAAATGGAGGAGGGAGCTGGGGACACGGCCCAGCACCTCCTGTGCTCACAGTACTACTTTTTTTTTCCCTCCCCCCAACCCCCCTCACAGTACCTCTAATCCCACTCCCAGCTGGTAGCAGCTCAGCTAGGCTTCCCGGATGCCAGGGGAGTGGGAAGGACCTGCCCAGGCACTCACTGAGTGCCTGATGTGTGCCAGGCACCCGCCCAGACCTTGGCACACCTGGTCTCAGCCAAGCGTCACAGCAGCCCCTCAGCCTCCAGCCTGGTGAGGCCGTGGATGCATCTCATACCCAGCACAGGGAGGGCACAGAGGAGGTGCCCCGATCACGCGTCCCCAGAAGAAGGAAGGCATAACACTTAACTGGTGCCCGGTTAGCACACAAAGGAGGGGAAGGTCATGCCAGGAGCCAGGATCCTACCCAGGCCCAGCCTGGCTGTGTGACCTCTCCCAGCACCAGCCCTCTCTGGGCCTCCCGTATGCACGTGGCGCTCAACACATGCACCCTTTCCGTGGGGCAGGCTGC